CCCGCCGCTCATGAATCCGTTTGGGTCCCCAGTAATATCTGTGTCCGAGCCATCGGCAGAAAGTCATGGAGTACCCAGCAATGAGCAGCAGGTAATCGCTTTTATTAGCGGGATACCAGAGGAGATCAACGACAGCTGGCTTGAAAAGATCTTGTCAACGTGCGGAGAAATAGTCAGCTGGAAGCGAGTGCAAGCTGCCGACGGTAGCCCGCAGGCATTTGGGTTTTGCGAATTCAAGAGCATATATGATGCCGTCCGCGCTATGCGAGCTTTGAGCTCTGACGGGGTGAAGAGTTTGCCGTCCATGTCTTCCCAGTCGCTAAATATCCATTTAGACGGCAAGCAAAGGCACAAGGAAAGAGGTGTGGATTCCAAACAAGCCGATCCAGACATACTGCAGTCTCTTGAACGTATCTTTGACGAAATAGAGAAATCCAAAGCCGCAGCCCCAAACGACAGCAGTGATAAATCAGCATCCAAGGAACCAGCCGATGACGAAGACAAAGAATTCTCGCTTGAACTTGAAGTAGCCTGGGAGAAAGAGCAAGCGCAGAAAGCCAGGCATAAACGGTATATTGCTGCGGCTGAAGAGCGTGAAAGACATATTGCAATCGAGCTAACAGAACGTGAAGGCCGGCTAGAACGGAATGCAATGCGAGAGCTAGACGACATTGAAGAAAGGCAGCGACGGCAGGAGGCGATGTCGACGTTGTTGTCCAAGTGGAACGACAGCCAGGAAGAACAGCTGGGCGAGCATGAGTATTACCGGGACCGCCAGAGATGGTGGCGCCGGCGCAAAGCAGAGCGCGCTCGTGAAATGGAGGTGGATGAAGCTGACCGGTATCGCCAGGAACGCGAAGAGAGTGCTAATGCCGAAACTGCCACTGCAACTGATCAGCGGGATATGATTGAGGCGCTGATTAAGGAGATACCAAGCGATCCCAAACTGCTGTTTGAATGGCCTGTAAAATGGGAGCACATAGACGCCGACCTGGTCAAAACCAAAGTTGAGCCTGCAGTGCGTAAGCGGCTGGTGGAATATCTCGGCGGAGAGGGCGACGATGGATCGGTTGACGAGCTGACCGAGTTCGTAACAGCGCATATCGAGCAGCACAAACCACCGCAAGGGCTGGTCGAAGAGCTGGAGATGGTGCTTGTTGACGAGGCTCTGGTGTTTGTTGCTAGAATATGGCGCTTTGTAGTTTACGAATCAGAAGCCCATGCACGGAAATTATGCTGATGATTGTGTCACCTGGTTAGAGCTTTGTGTTTTCTTGAATTTCTCTTTGCATTTTTTCCTTTGTCTTTATTAGCCATTGCAATGACAGATTCTCGAACAAATTCCATGGCCCCAGCAGCAGGCGAAGACGAACAGGAGCCGCTGCTGCCTCAGGCACAGGAGGAAAACAGAAATGCAGAGCCAGCAGGCGCCTTGAGCATTAAGCGCAGAATGCTGGGAGCAACACGCTATGCAACGTCAGTTTTAGGCGTGTGCCTTGCCACTGCATGCCTAGGCATTGGTCTCTATATACTGTATATACTTGTCCACGTCCCAGCGATGCTAGACGTCCTGCAAGGGAGTGAACCGCAGCTAGAGTCTGCCTCGCTTATAGATATGGACGATGACGGAGTGCTGTTTGCTGCTGATTTGCATTTTCCCAACTGGGGCAAACGGGCAGCGACAGTTCCCTATGCCAATACTACTGTTTACTACCGCGGGGATGCTGTGGGATGGCTGTACACTAAGAACTTGGAAGTAACCCCGCACCATAAACGGCTGTCGCTATATGACGTATTCCATGTTACGAATGCGGAGGCTATGGGCAGTTTGCTTGCTGAGGCTGCTACAAGGCGTCGCGTAGTTGTTTCTGCACACGCAGGAGTCTCTCTGGGCGGATTTGGCAGGTTCTTGCCCGTGGTCAGTGTCCGTCGCGAGTTGGAGCTTGTACTGCCGCCATTACCAGCTGTAAACGTTACTTTCCAGGATGTGGTTGGTCCAGTAGACGACATTGTCAGTGGAGGCGTGACCACGCATGCCAAACTGCTGCTGAATGCTCCAGTCCCTGTTTCAGCGAATATCAGTCCAGTACGGATAGACGCACGCTATCAAAACATCACAATTGCTTCGGTTGACATTGGGCCAACAACTATATTTGCCGATGGAATCAGCAGTATACCCGTAACGGCAAACATAAAGCATATTTCCAACAGTGCTCATGAAGAAGCGCTGGCTAACCTGGCTATGAAAATAAGCTCTGGCGAAGGCGCTGAGCTTTTGTTATCTGGTTCTGATCCATCCTGCTGCGACCAGGCACCTCTATGGCTTCGTCAGATGCTTCATATGGTTGAGATCCCAATTGCAACTGATATGGTTCAGCTGCCACGCCGTACACTTTCTCCCTTTGCGAGCTTTGTCAAAAAGGTATCTGTAGACAAGCTCTACGCATACTGGAGCGCCGAAGACAGCTATAAGCCCTGGGCTGGGATCTCTGCTCAAGCGCTGATTGAGATTCCCAATACCTCGGGAGCCAACGCAACGTTTGAGATTGAATCGCTGGTGCCTCGCTTGCAGCTAGTTGACGAGGACAACCAGGCATTTGCTACTGTCGATATTGTGGCAATTCCCATTCAGCTGAAGCAAGTGGCACCGTTCAAGTTTGTAGTATCGTGCGACTTTGATCGTCTAGGGCTTAGCGTAGTTTCCGGCAAGGAGAAGCAATTTACCTATGCAATGAAGCGAGCGCTGTCGGATCGAAATCTGCTGTTTGGCATTGATGGGACGCTGGATATTGTATTGGCGACATCCATTGGTCGGATTCATATAAACAGGCTACCCATAGATGCCGACATTGACTGGGCATTTGACTCGAATGTGCGGATGCCACATAGTATCCATAGCGCAATTGAGACAACTGCCAATGCAGAAGCAGAGAGCAGCAGTGCAAAGGTTGCTGTAAACCGCATCCATGTGGCGGAAACTACGCATGATCTGCTGGTATTCGAAGTTGGGCTTGACATAGTCAATCCGTTCACCTACGGCGCATTTATCACCGATCTTGCGCTAAATGTCAACTATGACGGGCTTCATATTGCGACCATTGGGGTTGAGGAGCTATCCTTGTCAAAGGGCAAAAACACGCAGACCGTATACGTTCACTTCAACAACTATCCAGAGGATCACCGGCAAAAGCGACTGTTTTTGGAAGCGTCGATAGGTAGAAACATCACTATTGAAGTCGCCGGTTTCCCGAACTGCACAAGCATTCCTCCGCTTGAGGCGTCGTTGCGCGAGTTCACAAAAGAACTCACTGTTGATACCTCGAAGCTAAGAAAGTCGGGTGCTGGCCACAGTGAGCCTACCAGCTTTCCGCAAGTTTTGCAAGAAGTGGTGTTCCATATCTTTAGCATGGCTGCGGAAGCAACCGTGATAAACCCCGTGTCGGGCGCTGGCATTTGGCTGCAGAAGATTGAAGCCATTGGATACTACCATGAGAACATTCCACTGGGCACGCTTGAATACGACTTTACAGCCAAGCAGCCCGGCGGAATGCGTCTGCCATACAACCAGGCAGTCACCACGCCGCGCCTACCGATTACCGCCAACGAAACATCGATAGGGTGGGATCTGCTGCGCAAGGCTATCGGCGGAACTCTTGATGTCGATGTGTTCACAAGCATCCAGATGCAGATTGGAAACGCGCCATTGAACTTTACCGTCTTGGGCAAAAACGCACCAGTTAAGGTTCGGCTGTAAGTGTACCCATAAATTGCATTCGGAGAATTGATTTGTTTATTTTATTACCCGCTTGGCACTGTGTATAATAAAGGTTTCTGAGCATTATGAGTGAGCTTGACGACGAGCTTGACCGGGCACGGCAGCAAAGCCAAGCTCGCTTCCGCGATGCATTTGAGGCGATATTTGCTAAATACGGGCATATTGACGACGAAGACGACATCATTGACCTGGAAACCGGAAAGCTTATAGTAGACAATGGACGAATGCGCAACGCCAAGGTAATATCGCTGGGAGACCTGCTATATAGCCCAGACCATGCAAGCCCAAACAGGCAAAGAAAACGACATCGGGGCTTGACCTTCCACAGCATAATGCCGGACTCTGCTGCCATGAGCAGTTCTCCAGAGCTGCTGTCAAATGGCCAAAAGCAGAGTCTTGAAACTAAACACCAGCACAACAGCGACTACTCGAACGACAGCGACAGCAATGAAAGCGATTTTGTCGACTTGGATTTTGGATCGCACTCAAAATACGCACCCAGACTACAGCGCAGAAGTATTGACACCGAGAACTCTGATAACAACGGGCTTTCTGCCGACTATGAGTCTTCCGACTCTACAGATGCATTCCTGGACTCACCCCTGGATGCTTATTTTACCAGCAGCGTGGAGAACTACTTGGAGCGTCTTCGCCAACAAATCACAAGCTCAGAGCCAGCCAATGATGCATTGTCCAGTAGCTCGGAGCCCTCCGCCTCTACCGAACTGTTTAATATCGCCAATGGCCTGCATTCATCGCCACACACCATGTCATCGGCTGATCTCAACCGCCCAAACAACAACCAGATGTGGACGGACTACGAGTATATTTCTGAGTCGCCAGTGCACATTTCTGAGACCACCAACGATGACCCGCTGCCGCTTCACCCTCACCACGCATTCACATACGAAGACGGCGGCGATGTGTCTGAAGAAGAGCCCCTGGAGTCGTACGAATTCCGACGATACAACTTGCAAAGCACCTTCCAGCCCCAGCCAGCACACTACAGATCTCCCTCACCCGCAGTGCTGTTCAAGCCGCAGCCAATATCCCCGCATGCCTTTTTCGACTTTGACATCCGCGCAGCAAAACCATATTCGCCCGAAGAGGACGACGACGACGACAACGCCAGCATCCATTCAGGCGAGCAGCTGCACACAGCCAGCTACGACTTGCATCGCTTGCAAAACAACAGCTACCATTGACATGCAAAAAAAAATAAAAATGTCGCAATCCAGGATCGAACTGGAGACCTTCCGGGTGTAAACCGGATGCGATAACCAACTACGCCATCGCGACACTAAGCTTTCCTGCTGTTGTAAAGCTCTATTGCTGAATGTAGTCATTAGAAAGTTTGGCATTTCCAAATTGCTTTATTGAACAGAACCAATGGAGACGTTTTATGTGCTGATGCTGTCGACCAGGGCAACAGACTGTTGCAGGCGACTGCTCTCAGCATTCAGAGCAGAGCGCTGCTGGTTTAGATCGTGCAGCAAGTGGGCATTTTCCTGTTTCATTTGCGTGAGCTGCTGTTTGAGACGGGCAAGCTCAGCGCGCTTGATAGCTGCAGAGCGGCTGCGGTTGATCGATTCGGGAGACAGGCTGGGAATGGGGCGGTCTTCGCCAGTGAGCTTACGCTGGGCGGCTTCCTTGACCAGCTTGTCGAGGCAGGCGAGCTTTTCGCTCATTTCGTACTGCATTAGGATTGCCTGGAAGTCAGAGTTTGCCGAGTTGCGGATGTATGAGCTCACTTGCTCGTGGCAGCTGGCCAGCTTTCCGGGTATTTCGCGCGCCAGGTCTGGGAACACTTCGCGCAGGTCGTCCAGCTTGAACTTGTCTACAACCGCCGCCAGTGACCGGTCGAGCACGGACAGGAGCTTGTGGTAGCGTACGCTGTCAATTGGGGAGTCCATTAAAAGTAAACAACAGAAAAAATCAACAACCCATACTCGTTTGTTTTTGCACAGCAAATATTCAATGCGCATGCGCAAATCCCTTGATTTAACTGCTTAGATTTCTGTTGCTATATGGCTGCTCCCAATTTCCCCAAGCCCAACGAGTTTGCAGACGACAAGCGTGTGCAGCTGGTGGAAGAAACTGGCCACTATATATTCACCGACCCCGACGACGGCACAGAGTACGAGTATGACGACGAGAAGGGCGCATGGTTTCCCATGTGGAACGAGTCCCTGGTAGAGCAGCAGCAGTCCGTCTATGGCACTGAGCCTTTGCCCGAAGATGACGTAGATGGCAAGGGTGGCAAGCGAAAGATGGCGGCACGACCAAAGAAGAGGGAAAACACAAGCGTTTACGTCACTGGGCTTCCGCTGGATGCAACAGAGGATGAGGTCGTCGAGTTCTTTTCGCAGTGCGGAACTGTAATGCCCGACATCATTACCAGTAGGTACCGCAGCGATTCTTCAGTTGGGGATATTGTTCATTGTGCTGCAAATTAACTGTAGACAAGCCAAAAGTGAAGCTGTACCGCGACGATACGGGGGCGCTTAAAGGCGATGCGCTTGTTACATACTATAAACAGCCCTCGGTGCAGCTGGCGTTGGACATTCTGGACGACTCGCGCTTTCGGCCAGCTGACTCTGCTCATATTCGCATACAGCAGGTAAGAGTGTGGCTCGGGAAAAGCTCTCTTTTGTGAGCACGGTGACTTCGGATGAATGCATTAATTTACTATGTATAGGCAGAGTTTGAACCCAAAGCTCCCCTCAGCGATGCGGATAAAGCCAAGCGGCCTCGTGTAGATTCAAAGTTGGTGCAAAAGCGCATTAACCAGCTTGAAAAGTAAGGTTGAACATTACTTTGCGTTTATTTGCAGCTAACATGTTACCAGTGGCAATTGTAGGAAGCTCGATTGGTTTGAAGGCGCAGACGACATTGCAGAAAGACACAGGCGGACAGTGATCCTTAAACATATGTTTACGCTGGAAGAGCTGGAGGTATGCATGCGACCTTAAGCACACTGCCATTTTTTTTACTAACCAAGATTATGTAGGCTGATGTGGCATTGCTGCTGGATCTTCCGGAGGACGTGCGGTCGGAATGCGAAAAGCTGGGCAAAGTCACCAGCGTCAAGGTCTATGATGTAAGTACCAATCTGCAAGCCAAAAGTAGTATTGCTGATTTGGATATCTGTAGAAATCGGACGAAGGGGTGGTGGCAGTAAAGTTCAAGGACGAGCTATCGGCCAGAGCCTGTGTAAAGGTAAGTGATTTTTTTTTTGCTGTTCTGAGAAGGCATGCAGCATTGCCAATGCTTGGGAGAATATACCTAAGAACACCACGCAAATAGATGATGAATGGGCGCTTTTTTGCCGGGCGGCAGGTTGAAGCATCAATCTACGACGGACATACGCGATACAAAGCGACAAAAAGAGGCTCTGAAGCAGCAGCATCTGCTGCTGCCTCCAATGCGCAAGGCAGCAATGAAGATGCACACAGTGGCGGAGACGAGCAGCGTATGGAGCAATACGCGCAATGGCTTGATTCCGGCAACTAGGCGGTTTTTTATTTATGCACAAGGCTGAGAATAAAATAAATGCGAATGATTAGATGCACACACAAACGCATGTCGGCAACATCGGAAAAAGACGAAGGTCTTGGGACAGTTGGGGGAGGGCACGGTGCAGGCGTGAATGCTCGGGACTAGACTCTGGCAGCCTTTGCGCATTGCTAGCAGGTCCTTTGTATCAAGCCCGAATGGGGTCATTAACCACATTGCAGTTATTAAAGTATCCCTGTGTAGATATTCCCCTCTCCCCTTCTTTCTTTGTAGCGCAGTATAATTGACGCGTACGGCAGCGCACAGAAATATAAAAGCAGTCGGCTCTGGACGCATTCATCCTCCTGCAGAATCACTCGACTATTTATAACGCGCTTTATCTGGTCCCTTGAGATCTACAAGACGATTTGCTGATCCAGACAAAGAGAGCTTCGGATTGTTGTCTTTTTGTGTTTTTAAGACCATTTTTGGTACAGAGCCGTTCTTTTTTCTTTTATTTTTGTTGGTCTTTTTTCCCTTTTGCTACCGGGCAAACAGACAGTTCACACAATACTGCTACTGCCTGGGAACATCGCCTGAGAAATAACCACACACCGCTAACCAACCACCAAGCGCGTTTTTTTTCCCTCCTCTATTTTTTGAAACCGCGCCTATATATTTCAACGTTTCTTTTATTTAACGCCAACCGCTATTTACGCGCATAGCTCCTAAACATGGCAACCGCTTTACGACCGACATCTAATGTAAGTTGAATTGTAACAGCTTTCCCCCTTGTTTTGGTATGTGCTGCAACCGACTATTGGCCGGAGCTAGCATACATGCTAGCATGCTATGCGGTGCTGCAAATACGCATACAGGAAGGGGGGCATACGCTTGGGGGAGCATTCTCACACTGCACAATTAATTGCTCTCGGTGCGCTCAGTCATAAAGACCTCTTTCTTCTTCCTTCTTTCTGCATTTTCCAATTTAAAGCACAGCAACCAAATTCAATATTCCATTTGTAGTATCATACCACAGACCCGCCAGAGCTCGCAGTGGCGGACCATATGCAAAGACGACGCTCCTTGGCACCTAACCAGCTTGGCGCATATATCGGAGACACAGCAGCAAACTCAGCCGACCCGTATCAGGCAGCACGCAACATGGGCGCACGGCCGGCGTCAGCATACGCGTCCGGTGGGGCGGCAGCACATAATGACTGGTACCCACCACCACCTCCTCCAGGACAGTACCCGCAGCAGTCGAATGGGCAGCGGCCGGCAGCATCGGGATCAGGGCGGAGTAAGTCTGGACGCGACATCAACAGCCGGCATCCAGGACAGCGCGAGCAGCGCGAACAGCACATAGGCGACTTTGTCATCAAAAAGTCGTTGGGAAAAGGAACATTCAGCAGAGTGTGCTTGGCAGAGCACCGCGTGACAAAGCAAAAGTTTGCGCTAAAGTTTATCAAGACCAAGTCGCCGCAAGGGGGCAGCAACGAGAAGCACAGCCTGCGTGTGGAGCGTGAAATCAAGCTGCTGTCGCTTCTGTATCATCCAAACATTGTGCGCATATATGACGTGGTGCAGCATCCAAAGTTTACCATGATTGTTATGGAGCATAACAGCGGCGGAGAGCTGCTGCACCACATCCGCAAGCGCGGGCGGCTGCATGAGAACGAGGCTCGGGGGCTGTTCCGGCAGATAGTCAGCGCCATGGACTACACGCACCGCAACTGCATCATCCACCGCGACCTGAAGATGGAGAACATCATGCTGGACCACGAAGGGCGCATCCGCATCATCGACTACGGCTTTGCCAACACGTTCGAGTGGGACAAGCAGCTGGACACGTTCTGCGGGTCGCCGTTCTATGCCGCTCCCGAGATGGTCAATGGGATAAAGTACACCGGGCCCGAAGTGGACATCTGGAGCATGGGTGTCATTCTGTTCTTTCTGCTCTGCGGACGCACGCCCTTTGAAGGCGAGTCCATCAAGGTGATTTACGACAACATCTCGCGCGGAAAGTTCACGCTGCGGTCGTATGTGAGCAAGGACGCTCAGGACCTGCTGCAGAGGACACTCACCGTAGACCCGCGCAAGCGCATCACAATGAAGGGCATTGTCGAGCATCCGTGGATCAACCGCGACTTTGACCAGCCCATCAACAACCATCTGCCGCCGCGGCCAGCGGTGGTGCTGCAGCCCGACGAGCAGCTGCTGAAAAAGATGTCGCTGTACAAATACAGCATAGAGGACACCGTGGCAGCGCTAGCACGCAGCGACATGGCGCTGACACCCATGGTGTGCATATACCACCTGCTGGTCGAGTCCCGCAAACGCAAGGCGTCGCGTATGGCCCGGCGGAGCCATGCCAACCAGATGGGCGGCCAGGGCGTAGACATGGACGGCGTATCGCCCGAGGCCCGGCCCTCGTCGCACAACCGGCACAGCTACGCGCCTGGATACGGCGAAGCACCCAGCCCGGCATCGCGCCAGCGACAACAGCAGCAGCAGCAGCATGGTTCCCAGGTCCCTTACGGCATGGTGGGAGCACCTGGGCGCGGCTCGGATCCCGAGCACCTGCCGCCATTCGGAGCGAGCCAGTACGAGCCGCCTCGTCTGCGCAAGGGAAGCACGGCCAGCGGGCAGCTGTCCGTAGACAGCTCGCTGAATCTGGAAGCGTCGTCGCCGTTTCTGCGCGACGACGACAAGCGCAACAGCCGGTCATCGCGGTTCTTCGACCGCGTGCGCAAGTCAATGCCGTTCCTCAAGACGCGGCGGTCGCAAGTGATGGACGACGT